CCACCTTCCTTGACCCCGCAAATCGCCTGAGTCAGCAGCTTGCGGTGCTCGAAGTTTGTGATATCCATCGAAGGGTCCCCTGCAATGTCGAAGGAATAGCACTTGCCTGGATCCACAGTGCTGCGTTGGTGGGACCAAACCCAAGCCAACTCAGTTGTGTCCATACACTCACAATCCTGTTCCCTGATAGTGATTCACAAAAAACATTACGCACACACCCAAAGAAAATAATGAAACAAGTAGAACACGCACTGTTTGCTGGTTCACAAAGCCAGGTGCCGTATACCACAAGATCAAGGTTTCACACACCAGCACTTGCAAAACGACTGGTGGGTTTTCTCATAGAACGATATGGATTTCTAAGGTTGGAGCCTAAAAGGATACCTGAGACAGGACTTCCTCTAACTTGCTAGTCCGAAAATGGAGCAAGCTACCCAGTTGGAATGATCCGTGATCAGTGATCAGTCAATAATGGTTGGTGTTCAGGTGAGGCCAGGCTTGCAGTACCAACTTGTTTGTGGCCTCTGAGCCTGTTTGTTCTCACACTATGGAGATAGTATTTTGTGTTTGATTGTAGCGTACTAGGAGTATTGAAGGCATACGATGGGGGGCCACTACAAAACATGATGTGACTTGCTTTTGACAGGCCTATCAAGTCACCACAAAGGTGAATCTGAGTTTGTTTTGGGCCTGCTTACACACTGGAGGTGGTTTTGCCGTAGTTTCCCCCGTGCTAGTTATACGTAATGGTTCTCTTTGTCAAAATTATTCAGGTCCAGTCAGTGATGGAAGAATTGTTTTTGCTTTGAGTTGAACACCAAGCCGCCCTAGAATAGACGCTGTATGCAAGATACACAGTGCATTTGTCTGGTAAGTTTGTTCCTGTCTGTATATTTTATATATGACATCGCAACAGTGCCAGTGTTAGCTCCACTGACATTATTATATCTAGCACTGCTGTTACGTAAACCCTAGTATTTACAACAGCTTTCCTTGACCTTAAGGTCCTGGTCCTTTTGTTGTTACGGTCCTCGCACACTTGGATCAACTCTTGCTTCAAACACAGGAGCACTGCAATGAAACCACCCCAAATGCAAGGTTTTTAGCTAACCAAAAACCAATTCTCCCAAGACCACCTCGCCTCCACAGGCTTTGTAGGCCTTGCTAAGTTCTCCCTTTCCAGAAAACACTTCCACCATGGAGTACACCTTCTTGTCCTCATGGAGTGCTGGAAAGTTCTTGCGCTCGTGGATCCATTCGCATCCTGCCGATGCGATCATGTCCACCACCACCTGTGGAAGCGCCATGGCTTTCCAACCTCAAGCTCCTACTCAACTTGACCTCAAAAACTGCTTCAATGGCGAACCGTGCCAAATACAAAACAAACGCCCTGAGCCACATACATCGTGTGAGACACTGCGGTTTTGAGAAACATTGTGCTCCCCAGTTTTGAATATATATCTGAACTTGTTTTGAACGCCTTCACCCACCCAATTCTGGATACCCTGGTCTCCTTGAGGAGGCAGAGACCGCGGAAAAGGCTTCCAGGCGCGGCGGTCGGTTGAGACGCGGTCTGTGGCGCCAAGACGACGTATCGACGTTTCATGGTCTGTGACATCGATGCGAGGATCAATGGCAGAACATTCGCATTGATTTCACCCGTCAGCGAGAAGAATCGATTTGCTTCGGGCGTCCCATCTCGGTGTGGCTCCACCCCTGCGGAATCAGGGACGGAATCAGTACGCCCGTGGGCACCAAGCCGGCCGAGCACTTGGACGTGGAGGTCATTGAGGAAACTGAGGGGCCTCTCTCCCCACAGCACTACAACCAACCCTGGGGTTTCTGGGGCCGTATGTGGCAGAACAATGCCCCCAACGCCACAAGCCATGGCTTTTGTCGGGATCTGCCTGGTGAATGTTCGACTAAGTGACTAAACCACTGGAGGAACGAATTGGATGTGATCAACACATCCACCGTGGACTGTGTTTGAGGACAAACCGGTTGCTCACTTGCCAGTCGACCTACTAAGGTCCAAACCCTGTTGCAGACCTTTGTGTCAGAGCCTGAGTTCTCCTGAGGGATGAACATGAAAGGAAAGACCCAAAGCTTTATGGCTAGTCAGGGCATGTCAGGGCTATCGATACTAGGAACAAAGGACATTGCGACTAGGAACTAAGGGCATCGCTGCGAACGTATATAACTAAGAACGCCCATGGTACGTAGCGCTCTATGGCATCGAGCACCCAAGTCTCGCCCTGACCGTGGGGAGCTGAGGCGAGAATGGTCGGCAGAGGGCTTGCAGGACAGGTACTGAGGTTTTGGGCGGCTTTGGGCCACGGCCATGGACAGGTACTGAGGCGATTCACGATCAATTTATGTCACATGTGTTCGTTGTTTTGGTATTTTTGGTTTGCAGATTGCACACCATCAGTCCTAGCCCTAGCTTGTTATTGTCTTGTCCGGAAAGATTCCAACCGAGTTGAACTTGTGACCCTATGCTCTTTTTGTGAAACCATATCTGAAAGGCATTCAATTGTTGAAACAATGCAAGCAAGCAAACAAACAGAGACGGCCTAAGACAGCCAGAGACACCGCATACAAGTTCAACCAACTCACCACACCCGAAAACAGAACCCCTACGACCAGCAAAAGCATCGTTTGAACGAAATAAGAACTTCTCACAGGTCGACCTGTTAGGGGAATATAGGGGAATAACGTTTGCAGTACGTGAAGGCGAAATATTTTTTGGTTTCCTTTAGAGATGTGCTTGCGAGGACATTGAGATGTTTAACTTTTAAAGCGAAACCATCAGTCAAGTGCTTGACAAGACGAAGCCAGCCACTCCGGTCACCGTTCGCCGGTTCGAAGAACCCAAGCGCTCGGTCGTCCTGTGGGCGTTCGAGGACGCTCGGTCCTGCGTTCATGTTGGCGGGAGAATGGTCCCGGGTTTGTGGTGTGTGGCCGTTTTTTGGTTTCTCAATATCCTGAAACTGTTTGGTCCTCTCTGGACAGTCATTAAATCGAGACGATGACATGAGGCATATATTCCTGTCCTTTGAGGAGGCATGGGGCCCGTCAAACCATGCAGGAGCGGCAGGTGTGCTTTGAGAAGCTGTTGGGTGCTCTTGGGAGCCATCTCACTCAGGCCGCAGATATGCGTTGTTCTTGGCGCGCCCATAGTTCGTGTCCACACGGAGGTGTTCCTGGCAGCCACGTGCTGGACTTCAAACAGCTGAAGCCATGGAGATATGATATGATATTGTCTGAAAACAGCACAGGCCGCTTACTCCCCTGGGCTGGAGGAAGACGGGTTTGGGGTTCAACTGACTTATGCTTGTGTGGCTGGGAGGAAGGTAAGGTATCCCCTCCCGCCCGCCGAACGCCTTCCTCAGAAGCAACCTTATTTGACAAATGGCCCTTTGAGAGAACAGAGCAGGCCCATGAACACATCCCGCGAAATCGAGTGCAGTAACTATCAACTGGCCTAGCTAGTTGCAATATTTTGCAAATATGCACATCATCCTTTAAACGATGGATTCCCATGGATGCTAGTTGCCACATCGTTTAACGCATCCGTTTGGGGCCCTGACCCCGTTCTTTGGAGGCTGGCCGAGTGCTGGTGCCCTCCTGCTCCTTAGGCACCGGGTGCATGGCTAAGCGCCAGGGGGCCTCCGGTTGTATATTTGGCAGATATCGGAGAGTTTTGGCAAGTCCGTTCCTTGTGCATTTGCATCCATTTGCTCATCAAACCTGGACATAGATAGCAGTGGTGTTTTGGTTTGTCATTTGTGGCTGTGCATGACATGGCCGGTCATGGGTTCAAGAATTGTTCTTGTGGGACCCTGAGTTTTTACTCGGAAATTTCATTCAACGGTTCATAAACAATTCACAGTCAAGTACCATGCTACAGGGTAATTAGAATATACTCTATGTCATGTTTGATACAACTCAGCGAATTGTATGCCGATTCGTGTCGGTTGACCTCCTCCCTTTGAGTTGTTGAGGTTGTGCAAAAAAACACGTACATAATCACTCACAATCCATATAGATTAACACATACACTAACATATGCACATGCAAACATACATACATACATACATACATGCATACAGGCATCAGGCATACATACATACATACATACATAGATACATACATAGATACATAGATACATAGATAGATACATACATACATACATGCATACAGGCATACATACATACATACATACATAGATACATAGATAGATAGATACATACATACATACAGCATGCTGGGGCATGCCTGGAGTTTCGAACAATGTGTGAGAACATGACTCTAAATGACTCCGGAACTCCGAACAGCAGTAACCAGATCACTTGGGAGGTCGACTGGCCTTCGAGGTGGGCCAGCAGCATACGGTCGAAGCCTGCGAAGGTGCGACGAGACGAGCGGCCACCATCCGACGGCTTTTGATTCTTTCAGAGAAACGCGGAGGATCAGAGTGGTATTGCTTACCATGGGGGTGTGAAGTGGTGGTGATTTATAGATATTTAGTGATATTTAGAGTTACATTAAATTATACAGTAGACATTCGGGACATATAGTGACCATTAATTGTAGTCTGTGTTTTCATTGACACTCGAAAAGCGCCATGGCAAGTTTTGGATCGTTCCGCCTGGGTGGGTAGAGCTTCTTGTTACTAGCAGCGCCCTTGCTCCTAGTAGTACGGCCAGGAGCCCCTAGTAGCGTCCTTGCTCGTAGTAGAAAGGCCAGGAGCCCCTAGTAGCTTCTTGTTCCTAGTAGGATGCTATGCTCAAGCAAACATGGACTTGACAAATGAACATGACGTCACAGTTTGAGCAGCAGTGATCATTTTCGACAGCACTGCAGGGGAGGCTAAAGGCCGGCGCTTACATGCTGTTGCATCATAAGGGGATGCAGAACTTATGTAACACTAGGTCACGATCATCATTTTGCTACAGTCTTTTCTTTCTCAACTTGCACAGCTCTGGCGACATCGGCCGATGTCCAGCACTGAGTTCCAGATGGAGTTCCGCCTAACCCGAAAAGTGCCGATTCAGAGTTTGCCGGTGGATGGTTTGCGGGGTTTTGCTGCCTTCCACATCATTCTGGGTCACCTGTTCATGTGGAGCGAGACACACCCACGGTATGCGACACCGGAGAACGCACCGGCACCCACCGCTGGGCTTTGCAGTTGGGAGATTTTTGCCGGCTTTCCATTGATGGGAGGTGGATCTATGGGGCTTTTCTATATCATCTCAGGCTTTGTCATGGCCATCGGTTATTGTCAAGTGATGTTGGAACCGGGCTTTGCCTGTCGTTGCCTTGGCGCCGGTTATTGCTGTTGCCCGGAGCAAGGGCACTTCCGCCCCTTGGCTCGACTCAGCGCCTGGCTCTTTTGGTGCAAGCGCCTCATGCGCTTGGTGCCGATGACTATTTGACCAACATCATTGGAATCGTGATGCGCCAAGTATATGCAGAGGATGTCTTTGGAGACATGCCGCACTATTCATATGAAGTCACTTGGGTCGATTATGTCCTCACCTTCCTGGGCCTGACCTCGTGGTCGCTGCGCTTGCCCTTGGGCAATGAGCTCACCTGGACGATCTCCACGATGTGTTTCTTCTACCTATGTTTCCCGGCCTTGGCTCCTAGACTTCAGCGACTACAGCCTAGGACTTTGCCCAAGCTTGCATGGACCATGTACCTTTTGCAGATCTTTCTCATGATGGGAGCCTTCGCTTTGGCGTTCTCTCAAGGTTGGAACGTCCACAAGAAAAACGACTCGGATGGTACAAACGATGTCAGTCCTTCCATATACTGTAATTAAAACAGACCCTGAAGACACACACACACAGACTTGTATTTATCTATCTATCTATCTATCTCTCTCTCTCTATCTCTCTCTCTCTCTCTCTCTCTTTGTGTGTGTGTGTGTGTCATATTTCCTCTGAACGGAAAAGCCATGGAACCTCAAAAGCAAGGTCGGTCACTACCAACGGTTTCTCATTCCATGACCCGTGTGGTTTTGGATTTTGCAGAACATTCAGCTCGACAGCATTGACAACAGCCCAGAGAGTCGGGTCTACACCCCAAGGGTTGGGTGAGAGATTGTTTCTCCTTGCAACTACTTGTTTGGGATATTCAAGTGTTTTTGCTCTTCGTTTTGCCAAATTGTAGATTCTAGATAACAGTTTTGGATAAATGATCCACGAGATCCACCAGTTGATCCATGAGATGCACCATCCCACTCTTTGGGTAGTGTGTGCTAGTCACTATAGGGTGTCTCTCCCTCACAAGCCAAGATGGTGTTGAATCCCTTTTCGCGCGCTTGGTCTTACCAGAACCTAGAGAAATGTCACCATGTGTCCTCAACATGGGATTCGCGGTGCCTTCAAGATCCACGTGAGGCATGGGTCTTTTTGGCTCTTACTGGCTGCGCATGACTCCACCCTTGCGCCTACCTGTCTTCGTCATGGGTCTTTGTGCTGGGCTCATCCGAATTCAACGCCAACAAGCTGCTATGAAGGACAGCGATTTGGATGCTGGGATTTGCAGCAGAAGAGTGACCGGATGCAGCAAGAACATGTAATTAAGAAACACACACACTTCACTACTTGAGCAATGAGGGTGATGGACACTCCTTTAGGAATCCGCAAAACACTGATGTTGAGTGTTCGGATGCCCATGCGTACGTCTCTTGAATCTCACTGACGGAACCGGACCATTCCCTAAGACTAAGAGCAAGCTGAAAGGATCCAGCGCGACTGGGGGTGTTGGGTGGGTTTGGCGGAGAAGCTCTGAAAATTGACATGGCTAAGCGGTCCGTTGTCGAAGTCTGAGACCAGGTGAACAACTTCCGTGTGTACCGTACGGTTGTCTGGCGCCTGCCTGGTTTCGGCGGCAGGAAGCCATGCCCAGAGAGAGAGAGAGAGATCTGAATTCAGACCTGCCAGTTCACTCGGCATGGCTCCAAGACATAGGGGGTGGACTCCACAGCTGACACGTCCGCAGTTCAACCTTTGCTGATGGGCTGTCCCAAGGATTTAACACCCATCTCGCGCTCTGAGCGGCCAGAAGTGCTGGATGGTGCTTGCTGTGAAGAGCCTTGCATCGGCCCCTGGAGCCTTTTTGGAATTTGGTTTCTTTTCACTGGGCTTTCAGTGGCTGCAGCTGTCCAATGCGGCATTCTGGTGGGATTGAGAGCCGTGTTGGAGGTATTTTTTCCTATCCTCTTTTATTATTGGGTTTTGGCGATCACCAGCCCTTTGCATCAGAGCTCATCCTTGGTGGCCTTCTTCAACTCACGCATCATGCAGTTTCTTGGAAACATTTCGATGAGTGCTTACATGATTCACATGCTCCTGATGGAGTTCCAGGGCTACCTGATCGGCACACGCATCAACTCACATCCGTGGTGGGTGGTGCTGACGATGCTTCCGATGACACTGGTCCTGAGGTGGTTTCTGACAGAGTTGCTTGGAAGTACACAACTGGATGTCAATGGTTACCGTTTAGCTTGGTAAAACCGAACAGTCATGACACCCGTGTCTCTCATACAAGAGGCAGAATCTCAAGATCATCCAGTAGTTCAGATAGGTAGGGTGAGTTCAGTTTCCACTGTCAGCAAGAAGGGGTCCCCACGAGTCATCATCTACTTTTTTGGTGGTGATAGAATGTACCCAACATGAGGCCATGGACCCACAACCACTTGTTGCAGAAGTGTCATGCACTGCAAGCGACATTTACAGTAGACAGTAGGTCCCAGTAGGTTAATTAATGGCATTAGATGGGATTAGGTCATTCCCAAGCACTTTATGATCCATATGTTCCCCATATGCCTGGCAACTTGTGATTTTTGGCAAGCTCGCAGAGACACTGTTTCTTTAATAGATGATACTGATACTGGTCTCATCACGTCTCACCTCACATGGCCCAGGTTCTTTGAGAAACCCATCTCCCGACGCCTCCGCAGATGCCTGGATCGCTGTGGCACAGGTGTCGCAGTGGAGACACCGGCGGCCAAAACACAGGAGGTGACGGCCACACGCATAGGGAATACCATGTAGTTTAGGCTTGGCTGGCCGCGTAGACTTAGACTAATTACCTATATACCATGCCTCGTTTCAACTAGAGATGTCTATTAAAAAGGCTGTCAAATACAAAGCCGTCACCCCAACAGAAACACCAGACGTGAGCCAGTTGAATTGTCAAGACCGTCCCGACTCACCATCTCACACCGTCTCACCTGAGACACAGGCGTGGTCCGGATGAGATTTTTGTGGAGCAGCTTGCATGCTGCTGAGCAACCGTGCTGCCATCAGTTGCTGAGAAAAAAAACCGTTTCATACACCTTCCAGGTGCATGATCACTTTGTTTTTCTACGTGACACTTGATCAATCTCTCTACCGCAGAAGCGACCAGGCTACTGTCCCCAGTTACGAGGACTCAACCGTGAGTTACCAACATACAATGCAGCTTGAATGCTTTGTTAAGGTCCAAGCGCTGGAACATAATTAGCCGCACAGGTAGAAGTGCTTCTTTTTGCTTTTGGTACTAGGCGGTACTAGGGATGAACTTGGATACTGTCCATGTGTAAAAGTGCCAGTCACAAGAGCAAATGCAGACTCATTACAAAATGGCCCCTGGGTTTGTTTAGTTTGTGTGTGGGCTGGTGCTGAGCCGGCGGGCGGCCAGCCAGGAGTATGCTTCAACCAACTATTGTTTCTGAAAAGGAGGTTGAACTTGTTCGTGGGGCCAGGTTTTACTTTGGGGGCCCTATTCCTAAGTTGGACAGACATAAAGATATCGATAATTATAGATATGTCATATGAGTCATATGTAATATATGTGACTCACTAACATGGAAGTGGAAGATGGTCCCTTGGAAGGCTACTTTCCTTTACAAACAGGATCAAACAGGGGGTGTTCCACTTCCATGTGATGCGTTCGACGGAGTGTAATACATATGACCAGATTCCACACCTTGGTCCGGTTTCTCCCATTGGTCCGGACCAACCTTTTCAGGGCGGCTCTTGCACTGGTATGCTATGGAGCTGATTCGGCACGCCTCACCCGAGGCCAGGTGTGGAGACGCCTCACGCTTTACAGACCCTTCAGTTGAGGAAGCGATCGCGCCCATTCAGCGACCGGCGCCGGTGCGACCGGAGAATCATCCTCCGTGGTGGTGATTGGGAAATCATATGAAATCATGATCCCCAAACCCTGGCGTCCCAGCTTCCAGGACGCACGTGCGCCAGGCGTTTCGACCGCAGCCCTTCGCTTTGAATACCTGCAACCGGCCACTTGTCCACCGAGCAGACCCAGGCACGAAAGTATACCTATGATATAATGTATAATGTATATATATATATTTAAAAAAACAATGTGGTTAGATATAGAGCATATTTTTCACAAACAATGTATGTGTATATATGTCGCAAACATTTGTTGGTTTTCAGCTTCAGTTTCAATCGCTCTCCAGCTCACTGGAAATTACAGGGCAGATCAGGGATGAAGCCTGGCTTCTTTGAGCTTTGTGCCCCAATATATAGATATAATAGATTTAAATAAACATATTTGGTACCTTTCGACCTCATGCAAGTACGTCAAGCTTTCAAAAAACTCAAGTATAGGACATACGAATACAACTCTAGCACATTACCTGACCAGGCTTCCCTGGTCAACACACTTGAGGAGTTGATGGCATCGACACTGATGGCATTCCCAGCGTTTGTGTCGCTCCCTCGGCGGTCACCTAGGATGAAGTTCGCGGACAACCACCGGGTGACTCCTTTGCCAGACGTTCAGATTCAGGAATCGGCTTCAAAACGGAAGGCTGTAAGTTTCTGTTGTGTCCGTTGACCGTCAGGTTGATGTTGAAGTGTTTCAGTTATATTTATTTTTGGGTGGAGTCAGTCGTGGTGGGGATGGTATAGGTGGCATGAGAATCACAACTTTCCTTTCACCGATGATCCGCCGTTCTAATACCGTGTGTGAGAGAGACGTTGGAAACTTCTCTTAAGTGTTTTGATCCTGGTCCTATGTTGTGTGGGTCAGTGTGACATAGTGTGACCCCAGCCCAAGATTGCAGGAGTCATTCTATCGGAATCTTGCACTCCAGTGTTGGTAGTTACTAGTTGTTTCTTCATGAATTTGGATGACTGCTCCACTCAACTTCTTTTTGGCGTCCGCTGGTAGAGCCTAACTGTCTCGACATCAGTGGAAGTCTTTGGAATCGAGCCGACAGTCATGGAGGACGGGCAGCTGGCACAAGCGCACTTCGGTGAGTTTGCCACGTTGTATGCTGAGTCGGCGGCCAAAGAAAGCCCCTCAGCGCAGCTACAAGCCTTGAGTCGGGCTTGAAGAAGTGGATGGGGGAGGGTGGAGTTTGGCAATTGACTCCTCCCTGTTGGCCACTTTATATAATAGATCATAATAGAATTTGATTGTATCTGATTCAATTGCACAGTGCGGTTGGACAGTTTGCGGTTGGACTGTGGCCAGTCCTTGATAGGCACCAACATTTTTTATTGTGACATCAGAGATCTTCAGAGTGTAGACACTTCATCAATTTGCGATAACCTTTGTTGCAAAAAACGTTGCTCACATGTTTTTGCAAGAATGTCCTGGCCCTTTGTTGGGCATGTTTTCTTCCAAGTCAGGTGCGGCTGCTTAGCAGCCACGACTGGCTTTGGGTGAAGCACGCGGACGTCCCTTGTCGCGCGATACGTAGGACGTAGGCGACCAGAACTGGGCCGATTTGTCCGGAATTGACCTAGCTGACCTGAGGTTTCGACTGCCTGCTGACTTCCTACGCGCTCGATCTTTCCCCGAACGTGTTCCGTTGCTCGGAGAGAGGGGGAGAGGGTTGCAACCGCATCGAGGGACCACAAAGTGCCGTCGTCCACTTCAGGACTTGATTCGTTGATATTCGTTGTGAGACCTTGCGCCGAAGTTGGGTCCTGGGTTCCCATGTTGGGTCCTTTGGACAAAACATGGGTTGGATTCTTTGTGTTTCATGATGTTTCTACTATCATCTACTTTGTACTGTCTATGTAAGTTAATTGAGGTAAGTAGTAAGGTCCTGCACGCTCTAACTTCCAACTACATAGTCCAAGTTGTTCTCCTGCGGTACGAAGGCGTTGTGTTGTGTGCTTTCAGTCTCACAAGGCAAACAGGGTTTTTAGATGTTTTTAGTATGGGCCAGAAGTGAGCACCTAAAACCATGGGACAGCCGAACGTCCATAACCAGCACCACCCCAGATGGATCTTGGTAAACCGATGGTAGTGGGGGCCTTTCACCCAACCGAACTGTGAACTGAGTGGTGCTGGGATAGATGTTTGTTTCATGATGTGAACTAGTGCACCACGGCGGCCACAGAGCGCCGCAACGAAGCCCATCCAGGCTTTGTTCGTACAGCTGCCCATGTGTTGCGGCCGGGCGGGATGCAGGGCAGCCCAGTGCCAGGTGAAAGTCTACAGTTGGTTCCTTGAGTGAGGCCTCTTTGTGTATCGCTAGGTGGACATTTCAATAAATCAAGCGGAAATTGCAAACAGCCACATGTCTACGCTGCGTAAATCTGTTTGTGTAAGAAAGAAGTAGTTATATGGTATGCGTCTTTGTATGTTCTGTAGGTCATGTTGATTGTGCGTGTGTTTTTTTGTTCTTTGCCTGGTCCATCCAGCACATTTCACACTCAACACAAGATTCATCAAAGTTTTAGCACATATCATTTGCTACACATCACTCATGGGAGTCCTCTTTTGGGCCGTCCTGTTGCAACGAGATCTACCTCGAAACCAACGAGGTGGGCCAACTTTGGACCGCTGGCGTATGACGCCGACCACGACGAGGCGGAGAGAGAGTTCACAGTGAACAGGAGTGAGTTCACGAGGCAGTCTCTTTTTTTGTTCCTCCACTGTCAAATGAAATCATGTTGCAGATAAAAGTGCAAGAAGAACGTCAGAGGTGAGAGATTGTCAGAGTGCTAGGTAGCATATCACCCAAATGACAAAAATGACAGGCATACGGAAGAAAACGGTAGCCTGGATTTGTTGCCATAATGATTTGCCATTTTGATGCTAAAACTGATCTTTCTTTAAGCTGTACATCCCCAGTGTATTTGCGCTTTTGGCTCATCGGAGTAAAACAGGAAGCTGTTCTTGAGGGATGCCATGTTCTTTCATGTGGCCCTATGGTCAATGAGGACCCGGTATATATATATGTATATAATGTAGAATACTCGTTCATTGTCAGGCAAGGGCAAGCAGTCAAGCAGTTAGTGATTGATGAAACGCAACCATTTGGAGTCTAGGACCATCATTTTGATCAAGGTTTGCCATCAACAGCATGCCAGCTACCTCGCAAGCTTTCCATGGTGCAGTTCCCAGGTTTTGTGCTTTTGGGGCCTTAGCTTGCCTATATCAGCTCAGTTGAACTGTGTTCGCACCCAATATTTAGGAATCCCTATCAGCTTTCTCAGCCCTTGAGCAAGACGAAGTAGTCGCTTGCCACTGCCATGCCTCGGCAGCCGGACTACTATGAAGTACTTGGGGTTCCCAGAACTGCTGGCGCTGATGAAATACGACGGGCTTACAGATGCTCGCTCAATGTCAAGGAAATGAGGATAACTGCTAACGAGTGAGTGTTTGGGAGGATGAGCACCATAAAGCTTCAGCTTGCTTCATCGGTTGAGCCAATTGAAACCCTGCTTGTATCCGAGTTGTGGTGCTGAGTTTTGCTACATATTGCTACATGATGTTCTGTCCAGAGTGGATGCTTTGGTTGCACGGGAGGGGTCAAAGCCTTTGTTTGTCCTATTTTCCAGTGTCATCTAAGAACAGCAAGCCCTGCGACATCATCCGGACAAGAACCCTGAGAATGTGGAAGAAGCCACTGCAAAGTTCAAGCTTGCCCCTGATTTGCAAGACTCGTTACTCACAAACCTCTAAATTGCAACAACATTTACTGTACATGATTCTTTGGGTGCTATGTGCCACCCACGTCTAGAACAAAGTCATGTTGTCCTCGTTCAGTGCAGCTAGCGCTTTTGCAGTGTTGCGTTTTCCAGTCATGTATCAGTTCAGTGTCAGCCTTTGTTGTAATGTTTATCGTTGTTGAATGGAGTAGCAGCAGCATGATCAGAGCAGGACAAAGAACGAGAAATCCAATTGCCCTGATTGCCTTCATTTGAGGTTTCTGAAGCGTATTCCGTGCTGATGCTTGGTACATATGTCAGGGGAATAACTAACTCCAAAGCGAGTCCTGCAATTTGTGGCATGCGTTGCCGTATGGGTGTGCTCTCAAGACGCTAGCATTGGCTGGACTCCCTATGCTCATGCTAAACGCAGAAAAGGCTGGACCAACTTTGAGGAAGAGTGTGGTTGGTCACCTAGCGGGTTGGGGAAACGTCCAAGGGAGGTTGGTTGATATGGATAGGTAGGTTACATATCAATGTGTAGGAAGGCAAATAGCAAGACATAATTGACATAATATAGAATTATACATGCATATATATATATATACTTATTGGTTATCGTAGATAAATTAGATAGGAGACGGGTCTACTCAGGATTTATGTTCATAGCTATATAGCTCCTTTAGCGCTGAATCACTGAGACTCAGAATTAGAAGTTCTTCAGCAGTTGATCTAGAGCCTCTCATTGGCCCTTTGTGGCGCTTTGCTTCATCCAAAGGAACGATGTGGCACGGCGGGCTGCTTATGATTCTGGCAAGCTCGACAGTGACTGGGCATGGGATGAGCGAGCTAGACTTTGCCCAGAGCACCGATTATTTGAGGTGATTCAGACGGAGACCCTACTCAAAAGGGTTGCTAGCTGCTAGTGGTCAGGAAATGCAAGGAACAACGAGGAACAAGTGCTAAGAAAACTGGGGTTAGCACCGGTTATATAGGATGTTATGGACATGCGCCGTCATCAGCAATTGATTGGCATAAACATAAGAAAACTCACGTGTTCCTCGATTACTTGTGTATAGTGATGGATCCACAACTTCGACGCATGGATCATCAAGCAGCTGTGCTCTTTCTTTAGGACCCTTGTCTTAAGACCTATGCCTATGCCTATGCATGGGTGTTGCCATTCACATACAGTTCCACAATCCTGAACATGATCTCTACAACAGGGGACCTTGTAGTGCCTAAGGGGAGTTTAAAACGGAGTTTGAAAGTGTATACATTTTGTCAGTCTTGGAGTTGCATGAGTTTCCCCAAGTCTAGGTTGCTTGATTTGTTTCCAAGATTGATCGATATGAATCGACACAGGGAGTTGACAGGTACTGTAGTAGAGTCAATTTGAGTCAGACAGTAGGTTTGGTCAGCTGTGAATGCTTCATTATTTGCATCAAATCCGGATGGCACAACATGCCCAGATGGGCCAGAGGCTGCCAAACACATCCAGCTGGGCAGCTGTCTTCGCGGTCTTGGCTTCCCGCTTCGACCAAGGTAGCAACGAGGTTGAGCCGACCTTCACAGCAAACATGGCCCATGACCTCTTCCGAGAGGTCTTCGGCCTTCTGGCGGCATCGAACCGTAGGACTGGACGGGACTGGCGACATCCGCCCGAGAACCGATGGAGCCACCTGAGGTTGGAGACATGCTTTACGATGTTTTTTTGTCAATAGGTCTAGTAATGGTCTACATTCACGTAAGCAAAGCCCACAGTGTGGCAACGTAAAACCTCCAGTGCCACTTCATGAGTAGGGTTTGGCTGTGTAGTTTTGCGTTCATTTTTGACCGAATACTTTGGTCTTTTGTTGAAATCAATCGAAGCCACCGATCCTGGCTGACTTTGCATCGCAGGTGATGAATTTGCCCGCAGACTGGCCGCGGCAGCGGGCAATGCCAGCCTCTTGATGACTACTTCACATTCTGCTGTTTTCTCACCACGATTGGGTGAAGATCGGTTGAGAGGTGCATTCAGATGGCATCCCGTTGACGTCGGGTTTGGTGATTTCTTATGTGTATGTGTGTCTGCGCATTTTTTTGGGGGGGGCGGGGTTGTGTTCAATATCACGTTGGTCAATATGTGTTCAATAGATTCAAGAGACGCGCCACATGTCCGGCGGGCGAGGCTCTGCCGTGGCTGGGACCATCGACTTCGTGGCAGAAAGCGAGCCACGTGGCTGGAATCAGTCCACCCAGCTGTTGAAGTGCCCTACTTGGGGTGGAGACCATTGCTGTGCCAAGCTGTGTAAAACCCTGGACAAACTGTTTGGTTCCAATGAGGTTAGGCGTTGGAAAGGGTCATGACTGCTGAGGGCTGAGGTGGTGCTAGCACAATCAAGTGATTTTGAATGATATCGATTTATATGTTATTCCTTGCATGCATACATGCTAGATTTACAGTTGATCCTCAGATTGGAATTGTTTCCAGATTCCAGTCCCATTGCGCACCACCCACACACTCAACCCCAATCAGCATCACATCCTGATAGAGTTAAGACGACCAAGAGGTGATGTTCTAACATTTCATGTTCACTTGACCACTTCTGGTACACCCTGCCCCTAGTAACAAGTGCATTGCTACTAGGAACAAGTGCCTTACTAGTAGTAACAAGTGCCTTAAATTTGAGGGGTGGTTGCGTGGTTAATCGGTCTGCCGGACCTGCAGGACCTTTAAGGCAGCGAAGCATGCCACCGCCAGCGGTGGCTGAGCAGAAAGTCAGGGCACGTCCACGTGGTCCCAGAGAGGACACTGTTGAAAGATGTTCCTTGAAAAGCTCCTAGTAGCTTCTTGCTGTAGTAAGGCCAGGAGCCCCTAGTAGCGTCCTTGCTCCTAGTAGTAAGGCCAGGAGCCCCTAGTAACTTGTTCCTAGTAGCGTCCGATCTGTTGAAAGATTGTGAGATTGGGGTCAGTACTTTGTTGGCAGCCGCGATCTGGCTGTTCAACTCCGACGTTTGCAAAGGAAATGCCGTAACCCCCTTGGAATCTTTGATAGCCTTTGCATACACAGTTTGTTCTACTCGTATGACAAATCTGAGGTGTAAAGGATTGCACAGGTTTTTCACCTTAAGCTCCATAGGTTTTGTAGAATTATATACGTAAGTGCAATGCATTGTTCCTTTGAATCACCTCCAGCATGCCTCCAAAGGCCAAACAGAAATGGTAGGACAGCTTCTTACTTGTGAGACACACACAGCCACGCACACAGCTAGAACGGGCATCAAGGTCTCCTAGGACCTAGGATGTTTCTTGGCGTCGCACGTTTTGAAAGATTCGGGGTGAGCCTTCGACCGGAACTTAGGGACCGGCAAAGCGATCTTTCTGACAATGCGAGTGCCAGCTGAAGGTCTGGTCCAGAATGATCAGTTCTTAAATTGGTGTTATTGCTCGACCTTTGTGGCATGTTGAGCCAGAATTCCGGTCTCCAGCGGACAAACTCATCTCGCTTGGTCACCGGACCAAGGTATCTCCAAAGCTGCAGAATCAGTTGGCCAGAGCCAAGTGGTGCCTGGGATGTGCATTGTTTCTAACTGCTGGATGTGTCTTAAAACATCACTGAAGGGGGCCAAACACACAATGGGTGTCACTATCATATGGTGCAGGTATGTGCAAGTTTTTCCAGATGTTCTTGTATATTATGTTTAACTATATCAAGGGTTTGGTTGGAGACCTTCAAATTTAGAAACATCACTCTTGTTGTGTGCGCCAGCATGCACCAGCCGTTTTGACCTATTGCATCAACCAGGTTCTTAATCTGAGAGCTACAATGTGAGCCTGCGGGTCTTTCGCAGGCTCACGGCTATGAACAGCCTTCGCTGAACTTAACCCAAGAGCAAGTCGGTGTATAACCACAACTACGATTACCACAGGCAAAAGTTGGAGAATCGTCGAGGGCGACAAAGTGACATGCTGCGTAATTTCTATTCCAGATGTTTCTTGAAATCACCAACTCAGAATGCGCACTTTTGCCTCTTAATCAAGGCCACCATTCTTCCAAATCGGATGATGCACAGGCGCAGACAACCTATGCGAGTGCTAGTAGCAGTGACTGCGCACCAGCCAGGCGCCCTCCTCACTCAAGCTGTGCGGCGATGGAACAAAATAAAGAGATCGAAACCGTTGCTATCTCTCACTCGCTAGGAGGTGCCGTAACTGCTCCTGCCCAGGACGAGGCTGACCCTGCTTCCGTCCACCACCCAGGGCAGCAAATAACCGGGGAGCGCACCCTCAAAGATGCCCGGTGCAATGAGAGCATCTCGGTCCATGTGTAACTTCCGTACTTCCTGGATCCTCATTCTGTTTCCTATGTTATCCCTGCTCTCTCTGCTCCTTGGCCTTTTTGCATCTGCGTATGAAGGTTATTAGTAACCTTTCGTTAGGGTGCTCCCCTTCAAGCCCCACCTCCTCGTGTGCTCACAAGGGGTGTTTCCGATAATGTCATACTAGCCGCTTATTCGTTGTTGGCAGCGGCATTTCGACAGGCAGGCAGTTTTCAGCTGCATTTAAAAGCAGCGGTCAGGCGTGCAATGGTTCAAGAAAACGGTCGATGGAAAACCACTGCGAAAGAAGGCCCTAGCGTGTCAAACGAAAGGGCAGTTCCTTGCCAGCAGTGTGACCTTTCATGAGCGTCGTGCCTTTAAGGATAAACATGGCCCATGGTGGCATTATTCCGCGGCGTTGCGTCGCTCGCCAACGCAGACGCGGGACCCGCCCCCCCACGAACCAGGAATTTGGAGGCGTCCCAGGTTGTTCTTTGGATTCATTCCGGGCGGTCAACTAGGCCAATTGATCCTGCCATGATGTTCGGCCGCACACTTGTCATGTCCAAGGCTCTCAGAATTTCTTGGGCCTCCTCCTGCATCCATGCCACTGAAAACAGCACAGAGACTCCGTCAAACACCTTTGCAGAGAGCAGCACGGCAACCACAAAACAACTGATTCTCCAGACCTTTTCAACCTCAGACCTTTCCGCAAATCAGAGGTACCCTGCCCACCCAGCAGCGGAACGGTTCTCAAAGAAAGGTCCGCAGTGCGGTGGCGAAGCATCTGGGGTCGCTGGCTGATCAAGCCAACTCGCGCTTGGCGGAGAGGGCGTCTCAGCTGTGAATGGGAAGACTGAGACAGATTCCAGATGGAGTCAGAGAAAGGTCCATGTTTGGGAAGAAGCGTTACTTTTTATGGTCAGAGACTCAGAGACAGGGTATGTTGAGTGGCCATTGAATCTTGGGATCAGCCATTGCAGTGTTGCAGCAGCGAGATTACGCGCACCATGCACATCACACGGAAGGCTGTCGATGTGAAATGAGACCATCACAACAATTTCTGAAGCTTCGGCATGTTCCTAGTCCTATCACGCGAGCACCAAAGACGTTTGAAGCCGTTGATGTAGGGAATGCGGACAATTTAATGTGAAATCCAGACCGTTACTGTACTAGTGCAGATCAATATATAGAAGCCTTGGAGGCAAACACACTCAATGGTGGATCCACCTCGGAGGTCATGCATCAATGAAGAATTTGACATATTTTTGACCCCCTCCTGGAAAGTAAATGGCACAAGCACAATCTTAGGGTCGGTGTGGGTTCATGCAGTTCAGACCCTTACAACAGCATGCAAAAAACAACTCTGTTTTTTTAACCGACCCCTTTTATACTATTTTGTTCGAACGGAAACGAAGGTCCATGTTCACCCAGGGTCATGCAGCGTTTTTCACTTGGTCCGGGAGCGGGTTTACGTCCAGGGTAAAAATCTTCGACCTGCCAGCGCCGAACGCGAGGAACGCTCTGAAGCCTTGTCGCGGCAAGCCTTGGACATCCAGCGGGGCAGGCATTTGGTGGCGAGCAAAACGGGCGATAGCCCAACCAGCTACTAGGGGCTCCTGGCATCGCTACTAGGAGCAAGGACGCTACTAGGGGCTCCTGGCCGTACTACTAGGAACAAGAAGCTACTAGCTTGACAGCTGGTTGTTACAGAAACCACGTGATTGATGTCCAAGATTGTCCAAATATTTGCGACCCGGTGGCACCTTTGTGTCCAAGTTATAGAAAGGGCATTGCATCGGGTGTTCACAAATGGGTGTGCATTATGTGTGCATTAAAGGAAACTCACCTTTTTGACCCATGGAGGAAGGGAATTAAACTAAAACCATTCAAAACCCATTTGTTGGGGGTCTACCATTCACATGTATGTACTGTATTTCCTTTGTCGGTATTCGTATTGGTACTGGGTGTCTAGTGTGCTGCTCTTGATGTATCAGTCAGTGGTTTTTGGCCCTGTGATGGGGCAGGTTGGAGCAGCACTGCAAAGAAGTGGCGGAAATCCAAGAGCGAAGGAATTCGCGGGAGATGACTTGGTGGGCAGCCACTTGGGAGCCCCTTGGTGGGCAAGTCCAACTCGGTGAGAGAGACACCATCAATGGGACGAACAGCACCAGCATCCACCAGCTGGTTGAGGATGCCCAGACTGCCCAGAGGTTTTTCGCAACACCAGATGGCGGAGCATGTGGACCTGTGTTCGACCCATTTGATCCTTTTTTTTGTACCCTTGGTTGGAACCAAGATCACACCTTGGCGCCAAACACTTGAAGAACACATGTGGACATAGAACATGTTCAACTTCAGTGTCAAAAGGGTTGATTATTTCTTTCTGGACGGGACCTAGGCAGCGACATAGGTGTTCTGTTGTTCCTTTGAAGCCCGCTTGGTATTTCTCTTTTGGGTTGCGCGCTTTCTGGTATCCCAGACTCATCTACATTCACGAAAAGACTTCCGCTGATACTTAGCTCCAAGACTTCCCGTGGCCCGTGAGAGAATGGTAAACGTGCTTTGTTCTACTAGTAGCAAGAAGCTACTGGAGGCCATCGCTACTAGGTTGGAGGCCATTGCTACTAGTAGCAAGACGGTTTTCTTCAAGTGTTCCCGTAGGTTTGTTGAAGCGAGAAGGGCGCCCAAGAGAGACTGTACGATTGTCACATGACCCTGTTGATGAGAAACCATACACACACACATTCTTGGTGGGTCGCAGCCAAATTCTGAGGGCATGTGTTGGTCTAGGTCATCTATGGTCCAAGTAGCCATGACCATTTTCGTAAAGGCAACCGTAAAGGCCTAGGTGACAACCCGGCAGGCCCATGACCTGATGAACATGTCCCATGTTGGTGATACTTTGATGGCTGAATGGGACCATTTAAGATAAGGACTTGACCCCAAGTTTCAGAGAAGGTAAAGTCACAACCTAAGGTCTGGACACATGGCCCTATTATATAACTATATATAACTCGTCCTTCTTGATTTCCTAGGTGGATCAATGGCGAGCAGGCAGCCGCAGACCGTGTGGAGGATAGAAAGGCCTCTGCAGAGACGCTTTGAACCTGACAGGATGTGACGTTTTTGCGAAGATCGAGTGGTACCAGACGTCATACCATACCAGAAGAATGTTAGAAGCCCGCCCCGTTTGTGGCGCATGAAGCTCACTATTGCACAAAGGGTTTGCAGTTTGCAGCAAGAAAACTTAGCATGGCATAACCGTCCACAACTACACTACACATACGGAGTTGAGAAAATAGTTGGTGCTCGTGTTCAAAAGTTTTGATGAGTAGTTTGCTAATAAACCGTTGCTACTGACGATGGAGGATACTCAAGTCCCACGAATTCAATGTGTGTGTGTGTGTGAAAGTGGGCACATGTCGGATGGGATCAGCGTGAATGCAACGGTTTTGAAGCCAAAGCAGCCTACTGTATATATATATATATATAATTGGATCGATTTTGACCAAAGTCCAAAGCTAATAAGGGGTTCCCACATTGAGCAACTTGCCCCATGGCTTAGCTTCAGCCGATTGCTACATGGGAAACAGGCATGTTCCTTCCCTACTTTGGCCCAAGGACAAAGAAGCTCCAGCAGCTTTGCAGACACGGTTGGGCCCATGGGGGCACAAGCTCGATGCTTGCGCTGAGGCAAAGCTTAACATGCTTGAACATCCTTGCATTGCTTCTCGCACCTCACTTCCTCCATGCACCGGGGTTTTGTCCGAATCTCCCAATTTCTGAGGGCAACAAGTCCCCTTGTGGCCTGTACACTGTAGCCGTTGGATTACAGGCGCACCCAATAGAGATAATGTGTGGTGTGAGGTTGAGGGTCGAGGTCATTCCCTTGAACAGGCACGTGCAGTAGGAAAATTGCTTCCATGGGTTAGAGGATTTAGAGGCCGGCCGGGGTCGCCTCAGCCCAAAGATTTGACTGAAACCAACTCGTCGCCAGAGAACAATCTTTATTGCACAGGTTTGTTCTTCTCCATCCGTCAGCGTTTTGTGGGCTCAGTCTTGGAGTAGGACACCCAAAGACCCCGAAATATATATATAAAAAGAGATCTCGAGATGATGTGGCTCGCTGCAACAAGTTTGGGCCTTCGAAGTTAACCTACTTTGCTGAGGGCGCAGCTCCTATGGGCCAAGACCGCATGGCAGAAGGCTGCCAGCGATCTGAAGGAGGCCAGCGGCGAGCGGTGTGTGTGTGTGTGTGTGGAACTGGTGGCCGGCAGCTCCAACGTTGTTAGATGTGCGAGCTGCGAGCCAATTGGCCAGGACCCGGTGAGGCAAGGTGTTGAGCCCCGAGAGCCAACTAGATCCTACCTGACATATCTGCATTTATACATGCAAATATATCAAAATATTTGCTTTATACAAACCTGCAGAGAAATACATTATGACCTACTCAATGACCACTGTTGGAGTCGACACAACTTTCGACAGTTACAAGACTCTTTTAACCCCCGCAAGCAGAGGGCTTGGTCTATTTGGGCCGGTTGGACCAAGAGGTTGCCCAGCTGTTCGACCAGAAAGGGTGCAACCTGGACACCGCAGTTGTCAACCTCTTGGGGCCATTTTCCATGCTTTGCATGTGTTTTTGTGGGCATTCTTCCAATTGACAGTTGCATGGAATTATGACAACTTTTGACACAACTTGGGTTTGTGGGACATGTGGCAGGAACATTATCAACCCAGTTTCTTTCTGCAGAATTCGTCGACTAGAAGCACCTGAGGCACGGCTACATGCTGCAGAAGCAGAGCAGAGGGAGTTACAGGCCATGAAGAGTGGAGTGCCTGGGGCCCTGGAGTGTTCAGAGACCGCCTTGAAAGTTGGGTTGCTCGCTTTGCTCGCTCAGTTCCCCACCCAACTTGGCACTCAGCCACAATGGCAGGTTCCCTGAGCTTCATCCAATATTTGGGCAGGCCATTTGCTAGCACTTTTTGATAGGCCCTGCATGCTACAAGACTATAGTCTATAGATGTCTATAGCATGTTCACCCACAAGCGCAGCTTTGCGGCAAGATTTGCAGCCTGCAAAGACTCGAGCACCCCAGAATGTTGTGTGCCAAAGTTCGCGCCTATGTGTACATTACATATGTATGTATACATATATATAGAGATAGATTTTATTTCTTTCTTTCTTAATTCTACAGTATATATATATATATATCAAATTGGCTTGCGGTGCAGTGTGGTATGCATTCAGACCTTCAGACAGGCCGAATCCTTTTAAGGCAAGCTTGAACTTGCTGCAGAAAATCAGTTTGTTGGAAAGTGCTTTGCTATACTTGTTGGCCACTTCACATCATGCCGTGAAACGGCTCGACATTAATCTAGCACCCTGGCAACCTGAGGTCACTTCAAGATGCTGCAGATGCAGGTGCTTACATGTTTAGCAGCACCTTTGATGACCCTTTAGAGTGCTTGTTTTTTAGGAGTCGGGACCTCCTCGAGTGTGTCGGCTCGGGACTGGCCTCGTAGACTCCTACAGAGGGTTGGGTGGCTTGTGCCCTCGGCTTTGTGCATTCTGGCCTGTCAAGGTCAAGGGGGGTCAAAGCTAAACTTCCAAAAACATCTGAAGGCGGAAAGTAATTAAGGCGAGAGTTTCAACCACAGCCACTGTGCTGGTCGTTCTTTGAATGGCAAAAACGTGCAAAAACTGTAAACATTGCAGGGGAGTTGTCTTCCAAATATCAGGCAATGGGTTTCACGGTTGATGTCTTCATCGTGACAGTTCGGCAAAAGATGTGGGTGTGCTTACAGGCCCTCAATGAAGTTTTTTGTGGGAATCTCATTTGAGTCGGAAAAAAACGCCCGGTAATATGTATTAAGTAAGGAAGGTTCTCAGAGGTTCAGAAATCGCTTGGCCACCGCTTGGTATTCTGGTGTTTAAAGTGGATATGTTACCTCGTCGCGCTAGCAAAACGCAGGGTTGCTCTAGGTTCGCGCTAGGTTTGGCGCTAGGATCAAGAACTTAGGTCACTTAGATAAGATTAACAAACAACACATACATGTATTGGTCACTAAACTTGTTGATTGGTCATACAACAGGCACACACTCTGACATTGGTTTTCAGTTACACTCAGTTCCCACGTTGAGAAGGAAGGCGATGGAACGGCATGGTGAAAGGTCCAAAGACTTGAAGGTGTTTTAACATTGAGGTTTCTCATCTGCAGTGGTGCGACGACGACGCGCGCGAGCGGCGAGGGAAAGGGTTTAGGGGAAGTAGCATGAACCACCATGGAAACAAACAAAGAAAGAGTGGAGTGACAGCTTGTACAACAGTTCGGCAGGTACGTTTGCAGCCCCCCCCCAGTGGCCTCTTCTTTGGCCATCCGCCACTGGGGAGGGGGATGGCCCCCTGCCTTGTTAAGTGGTGGTAATGGAAACGGTGGCATTGGACCCTTTGGTACAGGGGGTGACACACACACACACATAGCCGTATTCGGCGCGGTCTCCCCTAGCAAAGTAGTAGTGAGGCCAGGGGCCTCCAGTAGCGTCCTGACTCCCCGGGGAACACTTGTACAGAAAACGCCAATTGTTGGCACAGCGAAAAACTATTAGTCACCTAAAAAGCCTAAGAAAGACAGACAAAGCAAACAAAACAAAATCAGACTAAGAGGGCAAGAAAGAAAGATAGGTGTAGTTACGAGGCCCACTTAGTTAAACGAAAGTAGTTTGCGAGCGGGACATTCGTCTTAAACCGCCCGGGTAGCTAGCAATAGACTAGGAGAAACAGAAGGAAAGGCACCAACACACAAGTGTGTTGAGTGCGATTTCCTTCTGTTGCTCAGTAGCGGGTGGGATAGCAGAGGAGGCCCAGGGGCAGGGAGGGGGTGCACGATTAATTCGTCCGGCCTGTGAATACTTAGCAGAGTGACATGGACTGGTGAATACTTAGCGGCATGTGGCAGACTGAGAGAATCCCGTTTTTTGGCCCGGCGGCCTTGGAAGCAGTAAATTCAGTTAAGGTTGATCAAGTGGTGAATTCCTGTGAGAAGTGGAAAAGCTCAGTTACACGATGTCCGGCATGAATTCAGCGCCCCAGTGACGGGGATCACACTCAGCACCCGAGTGGGACGGCTGAGCGAAACACACTCTGACATTGGTTTTCAGTTACACTCAGTTCCCACGTTGAGAAGGAAGGCGATGGAACGGCATGGTGAAAGGTCCAAAGACTTGAAGGTGTTTTAACATTGAGGATTCTCATCTGCAGTGGTGCGACGACGACGCGCGCGAGCGGCGAGGGAAAGGGTTTAGGGGAAGTAGCATGAACCACCATGGAAACAAACAAAGAAAGAGTGGAGTGACAGCTTGTACAACAGTTCGGCAGGTACGTTTGCAGCCCCCCTCAGTGGCCTCTTCGTTGGCCATCCGCCACTGGGGAGGGGGATGGCCCCCTGCCTTGGTAATGGAAACGGTGGCATTGGACCCTTTGGTACAGGGGGTGACACACACACACACCCGCACGGACCCAAGAGCAGCAACTTTTTGAAAGGCAGCAAAGCGCGCCGACAAAGGCAGCTACTGTTTGAAAGGCACCGACTGCTTGAGATAAGACAAAGTGCGTTCTTGATCACAGACGTTTGGTGGCCTCATGCACTGGCAGGAAAGCGTGCTAGACCCGCGCTAGATCCGGGCTAGACCCCTTTGCAACTTTGACCACTTGTCCAAGTGCTGAGCAGGGCCTACTACTCCCACTATTGCAAACATACACACAGACGCGCGAGTGAAGAAAGTTGAAAAAACAAGAAGGGCAGCTGCTGGGGGCGGGGGCTTTGTATACACAAAAAAGATAGGAAAACCATCAGCCATATCTTTGACAACATGTTTCCGGGTGCAAGAGGACGGCTACTTTCAGCTTCACATTTGAAACAGTTGGACTCTGTAAGTAAGAATGCAGCAGTTAAAAGGGCATGCACAACATACAACCATATACATGAACGCATGTTGTGTAACAGTGTACATGATAGCCACCGCTTGGAGTTGCTGTGATTTCAACCTAGGATAATGATTATAGAACGGCCTTTTTTCTCTCAACTCATTTAACATCTGAAAAAAGTCCGAAAGGACAACTGGAAAAACTGTTTGTTTGGGGGGCCACTTGAGTCACTCTAGGGGGAGTCTATGTGCCTTGTTTTATCTCCCCTCATAGTCACGTCGCTTCAACTCCCCGAGGCTTCCTGGACCGTGTGCGTGGAACTCCATGAGGAGACGGCAACGTGGAGCGCACCAACGACGGGCGAACGTCGGTTGGAACGTCGGTGACGGCGACATCCTGGTGTCGTTGCATTTGCCAAGCAATTCAGGAAAATTCAGGAACCTGGTGTTCAAAGGGTATGATCTGTTGATCCCATTTTTTTACTGCTTGCTGCTTGAAGTACACAATCTTGACAAGACTAATGACTAGTGGCCTCTTGTACAATGTGATGGAATCGCCGCTTGAAGTTCGCTTGGTATGCATGGTGGTCCCATCTTGGCCAGACTTGTTCAGTTTGTTTGCCTCGCTTTGTTCTTTACAACACCTTAATCGCTCACACTCCTTCCCGCAAGGAGCTGAGGGTTCCATTACTGCGTCGTTTCACCTGTCGCAGAAGATCGTCTTCCGTTGGTCTCAAGTTGCAAGGCTTGCAGGCGCCGTCTGGTGTTGTTCATGTCATAAAACAGTGGAACCATGAGAAGGCTGGTGATAGATGGGTAGGTGGGTCCACCATAGAAGATATGCCACAAGCCTGATACTTGTTTGCATCCAGGCAAGGCACCTTGAAATTCATAAGCCTTGGCTTGAGAGCCAGAATCGGCTTGGCCGGTCCAATTTACCCGAGCCACGAGCGATGTGGCCAATCATTCTCGGGCCAGATCCCCTGCACAGAGGGACGGCGACCAGCGAGACTGGTGTAAAAAATTTATCCAACCCCTTTAGCAACATAAGACCACGCAACAATTTGTTTGTTTAGCTGTGTTTTGACGTGCATGCGCAAAAAACAGAACATTGCATTGCACTGCTGGAAATTAGCATAGCCGTGGAGTATGGGCCTTTGAAAGGCCAACCTCCTCTACGAAGCGGCCATTATCCCTTTCTGTGTGTGCATTTTTTTAGTAGTCTGAGTTTGATAAGGCATACTTTGGAAGACAAACTTGGTTCTTCGGCTTGCGCGCACGGTTTCCCCCGCGCGCACGTGGTTCTCCTGACACCACTTGCACTGGCCGATGGACACGTGCGTGGCCTGTGGAGTGGTTGCTTTTTGAATGCCATTTGCTGTAGCTAGGCTAGACTGCCTTGCAAGTAGAAAGGTGGAAGGTGATCCCTGATGTGTGTTAAAAGCATGGAGTTTGCACAACAAGTTGTTCATCTCAATGCAACAATTGTCGTAGCAGCATAGTCTCCATACTATACTTGCATGTCTACCACAATACGTGCTGGACTAGATGCACATTGGAATCTGAAAGAGTTGCCATCAAACTCGAGTGAGATACCTACTTGCCCACTTAACTAAATCAAGCTAGGGGTCCTACCCAAAGCACCATGCAGATCCATGCGTAGATTCAGCCTACTTCCGCAGCGCCAGCCTGCCCTTTTGGAGCAATGGCCCTGCCGGATTACTACAGCGTCTTGGGGGTTGAGAGGGATGCACGGCCTGCACAAATCAAGAAGGCACAGACAGAGAGAGAACGAGAACGGGGGGTGGTTTTGAAGGACGGGCCTCTACAAGAGACTTTGCTGGTCACCGGGGTTTTTGCTTGGCGCGTGTTGAAGGACGCAAGAAGCTACTTCGCTCCTAGTAGCATTTTGTTACTAGTAGTAGTGCACGTGTTACTACTAGTAGCGATGCACTTAAGTTGAAGGATGTTGGGAGCTTTGGGTGAGCAGGTTTCCAGCCTCAACCGCACGCGACGGGGAACCCTCGAGAGGAGAGATGCGGCCGACCGACCTCGACATCCAACACTAGCTTCGTAGTGGATTCGATCGACCAGATGTGTCGAACTGACAGATTCTACTCATAAGATGGTTTGTGTCACCTTACATCCTGAGAGCATCCTTTCCCAGCTGCCTATACCCTGGATGATTCTGATCTGTACCAAGTTAGCTTCGCCAACTGAGGGCCTGTAAGCACACCCACATCTTTTGCCGAACTGTCACGATGAAGACATCAACCGTGAAACCCTTTGCCCGATACATGGAGACAACTCCCCCAAATAAACAACAACTCCAAACCATCATTTGGCAAGCAGGCGTTTACAATGTTTACTGTTTTTGCAATTCAACGAACGACCAGCACAGTGGCTGTGGTTGAAACTCTCGCCTTAATTACTTTCCGCCTTCAGATGTTTTTGGAAGGTGGTCCCTCAGATTTGGCAGGCGTACTTCCAGCTGGCCAAAAAGCCATGGACTCAGTGATACCCCGCAACCTCAGTCGCCCGGAGAGGCTTTGGTGTTGGTGGTGCATGCAATGACGAGACAGTCTGGAAGAGCATTGTAAACGTGTAATTACCGTATTTTTCAGCATTTTCAGGTCGGTATGTGTTGTTCATATCTCTCCCCGGCCGGTAGCTCTTACTTTTCCAGCCCCTACCTGCAAAAGTGGTCGGAATGCATAGGAGGTTGGAGCTCTTGATAGCTTTGCCGTTCGGAACGCCCCAAACACCTGTCCAGAGCCCTCCCACTTTAAAAAGCAAGCAGCACCAAGCAGCCAGTCACAGCCAGTCCATGTGTTTGTTATACCATTACTTGTGTCGAATCGAGTAATTCCATTACAGGCATTTATATATATATACAGTATAATATATGTGGTACTTTAATGTTCCTTGTTTTTTCAGACAAATAACGCTGTTGTCTGAGAGCGGACAGAGCAAAACCGCGTGCTCTTGGAGTCTGAGAGCGCAAAGCATCTCAAGACAAACACCACAGTGCTCGGTGCTGAGTGTCACACTGCTGGCATGTTCATGCGCACAATATAGCAGTACAGTAGTACATCGTATAGTGTCAATGCAGTGATACTCGCATTAATATTCGTATTCAAGCGCTGCACCGCACATCAACCTTGCTCCCCATGTGTGCACCAGGAGACCTATGTTGCTCAGCCCATATGCTCTTTTGCAACTGTGACGAGCCTGGATAAAATAGTCCAAATGCATACAACGTAACCACACCAAATAAAAAATAACTGTTAAAATCTGTTGAGCATGTTTTGCCCGAAGGAAATCATTTGCAAGTATACCCAGAGAAGAGGCGAGAACAAAAAGTGAGAGTATTCGGATAATATATGCACATGTTGCATGGTCAGGGAAGCCGGAGAATGGGTGCACGCAGAGAGATGCAAGAAGTTCAGACTTGCACAGCTTTTCTCCGAATGTAAGAACTCGTACGTTTTTTGGTTTAGTTTGCGCTGTCCTGCATATTATCATAGTGTATACTGTCCTTCTCTATCAGGATGCATCCAGACCGCCATCACGGTACGGACATTGAGTGGGGCAACTCAGACCGAAGAGGGGAAGAGCCCAGCGTCCCATGGCTTGCGAGGCTGCAAGAAATCAGTCCCGCCTTTGGAACACATGGAAGACAATTGAAGGCCTTAAGGACAGCTGAGAGGTGTTTTCAATCGACGAGCCGGCAGGTGTTGACATCCTGGCTCACGACTATAATTGAAGAGAACAGCACTTTCGATCAGGGAAATGTGCCAAATCATGCCTCGGCGAGGAAAGGGGCAAATCATGCCTTCGAGCACCTCCAAAAGGCTTACAGTGCCATTTGGCTGCAATCGAAGAGGTTGACACTTCTGTGCATGATCGAGTCTCCCCAGTCACTCACATGATTCCAAGGCTCAGAATGCTTGCCCCCTACGATCTAGTGCTCGCACATGCTCGCACCAAAATGACGAAACCAGCACGTCACCTGTCACGGCCAGCAGTCCAAGACCAAGCTTCTGCAGTTCAGGTGCTCTCAAGCCCCGAGAAGCGACGGAACTACGACGCCTCCTTGGGCAAAGCGGGAGGATTCTCCTCAGCCGCCCAAGCCTTGCGAGGCGGACTTCTTCGGTGCTGACGAGGGCGGATGCAGAAAATTGAGTCAATGTCCGGCAGCACTCTCAGACGCGCAGATGCAGACATGGCAGGTCAGGGGAGCATGAAGGAAGGGCTTTCCTGGCTACACTCGCAGGAGAATGTGAAAGGGCACGGAACTCGGCCAGCAGTCGAGGGTCTTGTTGAGTTCGCCGGTTGTTGTGCGAGATGAATTCCAGTGCCAGAATCCAGAAGCTTGCTGTTTGCGTGGTCCTTCACCCAAAACCCCTGCAATCTCATGTTACTTGCACCCAGATGCTGGCATCTCCCAAAAGATCCAAAAGTGCCTTTGGATTCCTTGGGTTTATCATTAAGACACACCTGATTAGAACATATTAGAACACCGCCTGGCTGCTGGGGCCATTTCTCCCGCTCATCCCGTCCAGGTCGATCCCGTCCAGCCGAGTGTCCTTCAGGACCGGTCGAGGGCGGCAGGCGACCGCTGTTGGACCTGACCGGTCCGATTTTGGGATGCCACGATTTGCTGCCAAGTAAGGAAAAGAGTCACATGGAACATCAAAAGGCCGAAAAAAGGACATGGAACAGTGGCCCCCCTCTCAGATGAAGACATTTGTTGTTGGATGTCGTTTCTGTATATTCGAGGACCTCTATAAGTCTGAAATAGGGCTAAGTGCTGCGGAAAGCCATATGTTTCTTATCGCTTCTTTCAGCCAAGTATTCTCGGGAGTGTCTCAACTTTGCTCAGCCCGCAAGAATAAAGATCTCTGACTGACTATCACTATCACCCATTTGGATTTTGGTTTGATAAACAGGTCCATAGTTTGAGTGGCTGGTAGTCACTGGTAGTCCAACACGTGTCAGTCAGGTCTCCTCAGGTTTCAGGTAGGTTTGCATGTGTGCTGATATTGTTCAGATTGGCGCAGGATTTGTTTGTTCAATGGCATCATTACGCCATATTTTGAACCTCCACACCTAAGATTTTACATGATTTTACTTTGAAAATAGATTGCTGAAGACATCCACCAGTCCTCAACCCGGAGTTGGGGATCAGAACAGGAAGGTCTAGATCCTCACACTTTTGAATGGAAGTTTTAATGAATTCGCTGACGCTGGATTGAAATCTCATCGTTGTGGATTCAAAAAGGACAAGGTTGCTGATGTTGAAGCAGTCGTTCTGCTGTCAGAATGATTCAATGTGGAAATGTGTCAGCAGGCATTCTGCTGTGAGATTTGCTAAATGAGAGAATGTGTCAGCAGTCGTTCTGCCGTCAGACTTGTTCATTGTGAGAGTGTGTTGGCAGTTGTTCTGTGTTGGTTATATTTACACACTTTTGAGAGCAAAAATCAGCTGTTGTGGTAACCTGCACACTTCTCGGCCATCAGGAGGATGTGGCGTGGCACCTGGAATGGCTCGAGGGCAAGGCAAACGTTCTTGAGATGGGGGCACACTTCTATATCGATAGTTCATGTTGGCACGCGAGCAAGACAAGTGCACCTGATCATTTCATCCTTATTCGCATTACCAGCTCATTGAAGAAGCACCAATCGGCCTAGGAGGGAAATGTCCAATAATTGGAATCAATCAATTCAACATATCCATACATATCCTCAATGATACTCCCACTATATGCTACATCGCCAACTGTAGGATGTCGGGCTTGATCAGGGATCCGGGATACAATCTTTTCTTAAGCAGTTTAAACACCTATAAGGCTCTCAACGCATTTGGTGATTGGATCAGGCACCTGTTGTCCATGTTAAGCTGATACACAGCCGTCTTATGTAGATGGTGCCTGTGGTGCTCCGCATCTTGACCCCGTCCCTTTTTGGTTCGGACCGAACAACACTCCCAGTGCATCAGGCCCTTGTTCGGTCCTTTGATCTTTGTCACGGGGATTTTTGCGATGTTCCGTGGCATTCCTATGGCTGCCATGCACTTTGGCTGCAGTCGTCGGGCGAGGGCGAGAGAGAGAGAGGCACCCTACGGCTGCGCCATTGGGTTTTTGCCGTTTTGACAGGAAACTGATGGAGACTCAAAGCAGTACTTCCTTTTGGTATCCTTTTTGGTATGCTCTTAGGTCCTGAGCCTTATTATTGGTTCATAAGGGAACTTTCAGTTAGGTTCAACCCTTAGCGGACGACTTGTTTGGACAGGCAAGAATTGATGAGCATGTACGTGAAATTGTGCACACTAGTGGGTTTGTCCCATCTACTCTGCAAGATCCATACAAACCAATATGTCCGCACCATAATTATCATGGCATGGTTTTAACCCTGCAAGCGCCTTCAGGTATTTGCTGGAAGATTCTGAGCGGTTGCATCCACCGCCAGTGAAGTCCAACTGATTCAGCAGCATGTACATAATGTACATAGAACAGATCGCTTTTGCCTGCCTGTGCGAGAAGACTGCGAAGATGCCAACACACACACACACACACCGACACACCAACGGAGCCAAAGAACACACAAACAAACAACCCCCCCAGGAGTTCCAAAGGGGTGGTGGGTGTTTAGACCCCAAGCGAGTGGAGTTGTTTTTTTTTTCTCCCAGCACCTCAGCGTAATTAGAGGTACGTGACGCACCCCGATTGAGTGGTATCCTGGGGTTGTGAACATCAATGTGGGCACACAAAAGGCAACAAGATGAAGCAAGAGAAGCAAAAGAGGTTGAAATAATGATCAAGATATGAATCAACTGAGATTGAAGATGTGAGCAACCTGAAGAAACACACAAGTTATTGTTACCACTAGTGAGTGGATCATGAGGCACCGCACTCTCCAGTCACCACCCGTTTGGTACATCTCTCCGCGAGGCGACAGGGCATGGCCTGGAGTTGAGCTGGGAGGACGTGAGCTCGGCTGAAAGAAGTCACAGCAAGGGCTACCGCCACAGACGTTGAGCTCTTTTGTCTTGGCTTTGGTTCCTCTCCTGCTTTTGCGGAATGAGCACATGAGTATAGATGAGTATAAGAATATATGGTGGTAGTAGTGAGTGGTTGATTTGGGGATGAGTCTATACCTGTTGGGTGACTCTAGAGAGGACATCTATTTACGCGTGCAGAACAGTGGCGTCGGCTCAAGTTTGCTTCCACCGCCAGCGTTTGCTGAAGCCGCAGGAGCTGAAGTTTGCTCTCTCCCACTTCTTCGAAATTCAGGACGGGGAAGAATGATGATGATGATGATGAGGAGGAGGAGGAGGGAGAATTGTTCGTGACACTGCACGCTAGAGGACGCCTGATTGCAATTCTTCATTTTTGTGTGGTCAAGGGGGTGGCATGTGTCAACAACATGTAAGATCCAAGCTAAAACCCCCAGCTTTACAGCCTGTGGCACATTCCGGTGAGTCATTTGTGATTGCGTTTGTGATTGGTCGAGCTTCCTTCAAACATCTCCATGGGATGCTTGAGGTACATTTTTTTCTCCAAGTTACCCCCCCACCACCACTTTCCCGACCTAACCGCAGGAGGAGGAATGGGTCGATGCCTTCCATGCTGCTCGGGCTGGTCGGACTACTGCGAGACGGACATCTCAAAGTCTGCCATGATAATTGTCTACAATCATGTTTCTATATGCTATTATGTACACAAAACAGAGTTATTTAAATGGAATTGGCTGGGTGGCCTCTCTGGGGAAGGCTTTGGCGGGCACCCAATCTTCAAGGCTGGCACCCAGAAAACGCAGTGACGATGTTAATGTTGACCTCCTATTTGTAAATGGCCCGTGAATAGTACTATATAAATCTTTTCAAAAACCAATATTAAATGGCCCTCGAATAGTACTAAATGTTTTCTGGACCTTGATTTTCAGCTGCTTCCAGACCTTGATTCATCCAAGCTGATTCTGAGCTTTCAGCTGATTCCAAAACCTGATTATGTTGTGGTTTCCTTTACTCTGGAATTTTGATTTGGCTGCTGCATGTTTCTTTTTAAAATTGCTTATTTGGGCATTGCAATTTGCAACCTGAAATCAACCCACAAAGACCACCCCCCACAAGCAGCCCAAA